CAGTAGAATGATATATGAACAGGACAAGTCAAAAGAATATACCCAATCTGACTACACAGAGCATACTCCAAACAGTATGAAAGCATAGAAATACACATCAACACACCTTAAAATTAATTACTTAAAGACTAAAAAATAAAAATATCTTGAAAAATGCTAGAGATAAACAATACATTAACATCAATTTGAGATCAGATTTCTTATCTGAAATCATGGATGCCAGAGGGAAGTGGTACACATATTTCAAGTGTTAAAAGAACTGTCAACCATGGATTCTATGACAAAACTACCCTTTGAGAGTGAAAATAAAGACATTATCAAGTAAGAAATAAAAAGAATTTGTTGACAGCAGATCTTTCCTTAAAGATTGGCTAAAGGAAATTCTTCGACCCCAGTGAAATGATAAAAGAAAAAGTCTAGGAGCACCAGGAAGGAAGGAAGAATGATGGAAAGAGCATAAATACCTGTACATATAGTAGATGATGATTTTCCTCATGAGTTTTATAAATCATATTTGATGATTGAAACAAAAATTATAGTACCATGTGATACTCAACAATTTAAAAGAGTGAAAGTTAATGGTAGCCACATTTCACCTCAAATGGCAAAATGCTGACATCAGTAGACATTGTTGACATTACTGTGGTAAGTCATGTATGCATATCACAATACCCAGAACAATCACTGCAAAAACTATCCCAAGAGATAGTCAAAACTCAATATGAGTTAAAATGGAATCCCAAAAATGTTTAAGTAACTTGAAGGAAATCAAGAAAAGAGAAACAGGAATGACAGCCAGAGGAAACAAGCAGGGCATTTTATAATGATAAAGGGATCTATCTACACTGAATGAGTATACACTAAACATCATAGGCTCAAAATAAAGAAAGCAAATATAAATGTAGCTGAATGGAACAATTAAAAGTATCCACATTTATAGTTGGGAACTTCACAACCCTCTCTCAGAAAACTACTAGAACTATTAGACTGCAAATCAACAAGGAAATAGAAAATCAGTACAACTTACAGGATCTAATTGACGTATATATAACATATCACCCAAAAACATAAGAATGTATATTTTTCAAGCACTTCTGGAACATTCACCAAAATAAACTATAATCTTGGCCACAGAACACACTTTAGTAGATTTACAAGAACTGAAGTCATATAGTGTGTTTTCCCACCATAATGGAATCAAATATGAAATCAATAATAGAAACAAAGGGAAACTTGGTAAAGTTGTGGAAATTAAATAACACATCCTTGAATAAGTCTTTCATTGAGGAAGTCTCAAAGAAAATGAAAAAATACATAGAACTGAATGCTAATAAAAATAAACTATCTGGGATGCAGCTCAAGTAGTACTCAGAGGGAAATTTATAGCAATAAATATATTAGAAATGAGGAAAGATTTCAAATCAGAAAATAATGAAATCTAAATAAATGCTCATGGATTAGAAGATTCAGCATAGTAAAATGTCAATTTTCCCAAGTTTGGTCATAAGTTTCATGCAGATCCTATTAAAATCCCAGTAAGGTTTTTGTAGCAACAAATAAGCTTGTTCTAAAATTTATAAGAAAAGGCACAGACCCTAAAATATCTTAAACAGTGTTGACAATAAAATGGGAGGGATCATCCACATTCATACTGGAGCTTATTCTCACTTCACTAATCCAAACAGTGCGGTGTTGGTGGAGGGATAGACGTGTAGATCAATAGAATAGAATGGAAATTTCAGACATAAACCCACAAATAAGCTTAACTGATTTTTTTATAAAGTCAAAAGCAATTCCTTAGAGAAAGGATAACCTTTCCAACAAATGGTGCTGGGGCATTTTCTAAAATCCTTAGGCAAAACAAGCAAATAAACTTACAAACAATAAACTACACCAGAAGTACACACACACACACACACACACACACACACATCATCTTAAACTTCACACCTCTTGTAAAAATTAACTCAAAGTGAATAGTGAATTTAAATCTAAAGTGTCAAAGGATAAAACTTAGATAAAAACAATTTTTTAAAGAAAAAACATGCCATCTCTCATCTTGTCTCCAGCCCTTTATCCTTTTGAGCCCTTCATTACTCAGTTTGCATATCTCCTCTGGGAAGTTCTCACTGGTTCTGCAAGTCTGGCTGGATTGGCCACCCGTCCCACGGGCACAGTAACACCTCAGTGGAAAATTGTTTTTCCTCTGCTTGCTCAACATCTGAGTCTGTTCACGTGCAGGAGATACCCTGTTAAATGGCCTTTGTTTGGAACCACGGTCCACTGCCTTCCTCAGAAACCGAGGAGGGCTGATACTGCTTCTTGGCACCACACCTTGACAACCTGGGTGTCATCTAGGATAGTCATTCTCTTCAGCCCGAGACTTTGAGTTGGGAGTGAGCAATGGGAAGGGCCTGTGACATGAAGGACTCATTCTTGTGCTCTTTGCAGTGGCCTCTCTTTCTGAGGAGTGGTGCCGGTGGTGATATACAGAGTGGTGGTGTCTATAGCAGATGGATTTTGAGGGGTTGAACGGTGGTCCTGTGGTTAGTCTTGCTTCATTCCTTCCTTTCTAGAGATTGTATGAGCTATGAGAGCCTTTCAACAAATTCCTATTTTAATTAGCTAGAGTCAGTTACTTTTGCTTAAAAAAATATCTTGATAGATTCAATCACCCTATCATGGTATTGCCCTTTTGCCCACTTACTTGCCATTTTCTTACACCGGATCCTGAGTACGGGCTTTGTCTTACTCATCACGTACACAGTCTATTGCATACTCGGGTCTATTAAATTCTCAGTAAATAATGAAAATGTGCATGTTTTCCATTCTATTTCTCCACTGGTATGATAGTGGAAATTTCTCTGTGTTTGGCATTTGGTGGGCTTTTAATATTGCAGTGCTATTTATAAGGTTTGAATGTTTACCTTCTTGAATATTTTATTGGAAATTCTGAGGAGTTTGTAAGCACCATTATCCTGAACAATATTTTTCCTCCTTCACTCCTTTTTTTCCCTTAATACAAGTACATTTGATCTTGAATAACATGGGGGTTAGATGCCCTGACGCTGACAATTGGTTTGCAGGCTGGCGCTCAGTCCACTAAGGCACACCAGCCAAGGCATGACCCTGACAGTTGGAAGCTTGCATATAACACTTGACTCCCCCAAACTTAACTGGATACCTTACCAGTAATACAAATAGCTGATTAACACATATTTTACATGTTACTTGTATTATATACTGTATGCTCACAGTACAGTAAGCTAGAGAAAAGAAAATGTTATTAAGAAAGTCATAAAGAAGAGAAAATACATGGACAGTATTTATTGAAAAAAAGTCTCATCTGAGTGTTCCCGCACATTTCAAATCTGTTTTGTTCAAGGGTCAACTGTACTAAGTGATATGGATGGGGAACTCCTTTTATCAGGACAAAAAAAATAAGACTTTCCAATCAGCTAATGTAATAATTAAGCTGGTTGCTTTTATGTATAATTTTCTTTCATTGTGGACAGTGTTATTAGTACACTGATGTGTAATATACATACATACACATGTATATAATATGTATAAAGGCTACCTAATTGTGTCTCCTTGTTCGTTGTTGCTGTTGTTAAACCCATCATATTTCAGTTATTTAGGCTTAAAATCTCACTTATCTTGCTCCTCTGGTGGGGAATGCCAGTGGCTGCAAGTACCTTTTCCCTCTCCTCCATTGGTATTATGAGCCAAGTCTTTATGAATTCTCTTGTGTGACTTCCTCACAGGTTTTCCCTTTTACTGAAATGAAGCCAACCTTAATGAGAGCTTCTGGACACATCTTTCTTATGATACCTTATAAAGCTTGACGCTATCTTGTGACTCCACCCCTAATTATATGCAATATTTTTTCAAACTACCTATACTTCCTCTTGTGGTTTTATCACTCACATATTACATAGTAGGTTTTAAAAAAATAATCTGCTTCTTACATCCATGTGGTTTATCTCTTCGACAGTCTCATTATGTTCAGATTCCACTGTTGACACAGAATGTACTCCAGGATGCATTCCCTGCTCACCCTCCCTCATTTAAAGCAGGGATATTCTGTCATGTGACCAGCTACCCACATTTTCTGGAGACTGTATCATCTAGCCCTTGGCATTATGTATTGTTATTATTTAAGACAATTAGTTGGATTTGAAAATGAAAGTATCAGTGGTCCTTCCTATAGAGCTTTCAGAATTAATGAATTTTAGGTATTTCATCAGGTTTCAGAATCATTATCAAAACACTATACGGTGTGGGGGAACCCCCAGACCCCCAAATTTATTTATAAAAATTGTATATTTATTCTTACATGTTTGAATTTTAGTCACCTTCAAAGTACTCTCCATGTGATGCAATACACCTATTGAGACATTTTCCCACTTTTTGGACTTGTTGATTTTGATGCCTTTTAGTGCTTCTGCCATTTTTTGTTTCACCTCTTCCACATTGGCAAAACGGTTCCCCTTTAGGACTTTTTTCTTCTGAGGAAACAAACAAAAAGTCTCTTGGGGTGAAATTGATTGGGTGAATAGGGAAGGTGGCGTATGATGGGGGTGGGGGTCATGACATTTTTGGTCAAAAATAGCTGAAGACTCAGTGTGGTGGGGGCAGGTGTGCTTGTAAATCACCCATCATGAAATTTATGCACTGAAAGAATTTCCAAAAACAATTCACTGAAGCCCAGAACAGCCTCTCACAACAAGCCAGCTTGTGCATTGATACAGATGGGTTCCTAGGACACCTCTCCTTGTGGGGAAGCCTTTACTACAAGGGGCCGGCCCTCCAGGGGATAATTCTGGTTTTTTGGGGGGTCCCCCCTTGAAGTGTTAGTTTTCTGCATCGTGCAGCTACTTGTAGGTGTATTTATGGTTATAAAACACATGTTTGTTTTTCCTTTTGAAATAATGCCTTGGTGTTTTGTTTTTATGCTTTGAGGATTTTATTTAAATTATCATTTGTTTTTTACTCAGTCAATGCTCCGAGGGAGAGGAGGGTGCTATAAACATACATTCTATGGCATCGAAAGCCATCGTTGCATGGAAACCACCCCAAGCTTAGCATGTGCAAATAAATGCGTCTTCTGTTGGCGGTGAGTAAAAACCAGTGGCCGTGTTGACCAAATATGTAATGATCTGTAATAAACAATCTGCCTAACACTGCACTCAAATATACCTAAAGCTTTGAGGTTTCTGTAATTATTTCCTTTCCTAATGTTATATATATATGCATTTGGTTGTTTTTCATGACCTGCTTTATCAGAGACTTGTCAAGATTCTTAGTCTTTTTGAATCACTTGATTTTAGCTTTGTGAATCCTCTTCATTATATTTTAATTTCCTTGTTCACTATCTCCTATTGTTTTTGTTTCTCTGTTCTTTTTCTAACTTAAACCGGACCATTAACTCATTAATATTCAATCTTCTATAAGTGTTTAATTGTAAATTTCTAAGTATTTCTTTAGCTACATTCCATAGATTTTGATTAGTCAATTATTCAATTATAAATATTTTTTAATTTCCATGATGACTTCTTTGTAACTCATGGGTCAAAGAAATATTTATTTAAAAAATTACAGCCTTGGCCAGTGTGGCTCATTTGGTTGGAGCCACAGTTATTGTTCCATAACTGAAAGGTTGTGGGTTTGATTCCTGGTGAGGGCACATACCTTAGTTGCAGGTTCGACCTGGTCTCACCGTGCAGCCTCTGTCTGGGTGCATGTGGAGGCAACCGATCGATGCTTCTCTCTTGCATACGTGTTTCTGTCCCCTCCTTTCTAAAAAAACAAGTGAAAAAAAGTCTTCAGGTGAGGATTTTTAAAAAATTACACCTAAGTTAGATTTTAGGGGTTATGTTTTATTATTCACTTTCAACAAAATTGTATTATTGTTACACGGTTTGTACATAATTTCTAATATAGATTATTTAACTTATTGATTTTTTAAAATGTTTTATTATTATGCTATTATAGCTGTCCCAATTTTTCTTCTTTTGCCTCCCTCAACTCAGCATCCCCAACTCCCTCAGGCAATCCCCCCACTGTTGTTCATGTCAGTGGGGCATATATGTAAGTTCTTTGGCTATTCCATTTCCTGTGCTGTACTTTACATCCTCATGGCTATTCTGTAACTACACATTTGTACTTCTTAATCCCTCACCTCTTCGTCATTCCCCCACAGCACCTTCCAATCTGAAAGGTATCAAAATGCTCTCCATGATGGGATTCTTGGAATATATTACCTGAAGTGGAATCATTGGGTTCTGACAGTTCCGGGTTTAATTTTTTTAGGAAATATATTACTATGCTTTCTCTGTGTACTTCATGAAACTGGATCATTCAGTATGAATTTTAATGTCTGTTTTTTTCCTCAGTAAAATGTTTTTGAGGTTCATCTGTGTTGTTAGGTATATCAGTAGTTTGTTCCTTTCAGTTGTATGGGTTTACCACCCTTTGTTTACCTAAACACCTCTAGTTAAATATTTGTTTCCAGGTTTTAACTGGATTATGAATAAATTAGTATATAAATCTTCTGCAGACAAATATTTTCATTTCACTTGGGTAAACACCTATGTATAGAATTATTGGATTTTTAAAAGTCCATTTGGACAATCTTTTAACTGTTTTTTTTTAAAATATATTTTATTGAGCATGCTATTACAGTTGTCCCATATTCTTACCTCCTTTGTTCCCCTCTGCCCTGCACCACCCCTTCCACCCACATTCCCCCATTTTAGTTCATGTCCATGGGTCATACATACAAGTTTTTTGGCTTCCCCAGTTCCCATACTATTCTTAACCTCCCTCTGTCTATTTTGTACCTACCATTTATTCTTCTTATTCCCTGTATCTTTTTCCCCATTCTCCTTCCTCCCTGTTCCCACTGATAACCCTCCATGTGACCTCCATTTCTGTGATTTTTTTCCTGTTCTAGTTGTTTGCTTAGTTTGTTTTTGATTTTTTTAAGTTCAGTTGTTGATAGTTGTGAGTTTGTTGTCATTTTACTATTCAAAGTTTTGATCATCTATTTCTTAGATAAGTCCCTTTAACATTTCCTATAATAAGGGCTTGGTGATGATGGACTCCTTTAACTTGACCTTGTCTGGGAAGCACTTTATCTGCCCTTCCACTCTAAATGATAGCTTTGCTGGATAGAGCAATCTTTGATGTAGGTCCTTGCCTTTCATGACTTGGAATACTTCTTTCTAGCCCCTTCTTGTCTAAAAGGTTTCTTTTGAGGAATCAGCTGATAGTCTTATGGGAACTCCTTTGTAGGTAACTGTCTGCTTTTCTCTTGCTGCTTTTAAGATTCTTTTCTTCTCTTTAATCTTGGGTAGTGTAAGTATGATGTATCTTGGTGTGTGTTTCCTTGGGTCCAACTTCTTTGGGACTCTGAGCTTCCTGTACTTCCTGGAAGTCTATTTCCTTCACTAAATTGGGGAAGTTCTCCTTCATTATGTTTTCAAATAAGTTTTCAATTTCTTGCTCTTCCTCTTTTCCTCCTGGCAGCCCTATGATTTGATTGTTGTAATGTTTAAAGTTGTGCCAGGGGTTCCTAAGCCTCTCCTCAATTTTTTGAATTCTTGTTTATTCATTCTGTTCTGGTTGAATGTTTATTTCTTCCTTCTGGGCCGTATCATTGATTTGAGTCCTGGTTTCCTTCCCTTCATTGTTGGGTCCCTGTACATTTCTCTTTATTTCACTTTGCATAGTCTTCACTTTTTACTCCTATTTTGTGACCATACTCAACCATTTCTGTGAACATTCTGATTTACCAGTGTTTTGAACTCTGCATCTAATAGGCCAGGTATCTCTTCATCACTTAGTTCTATTTTTTGAGCTTTGTTTCTTTCATTAGGGCCATTTTTTTTTTTTTTTGGTCTGGAGGCAGCTGTTGTGATGTAAGGGGCGGAGCCTTAGGTATTTACCAGGGTGGGGCAACCCACTTCACTGTGTTGTGGTGCTGTATGTGGGGGAGGGGTCCAAAAGGGAACAGTGCCACTTGTTCAGCCTTCACTCTGCTTTCATTCACTTCCCCTGCTACTCAAAGCAAATTGGCTCCTTCTGGTACTGATTCCCTGGTGGATGGGTTTGTGTACATTCTAGGACCCTGTGGTCCTAGATCTGTCCAATGAACTCTCCTGTGAGGCTGAGAGTTTCTCATGCTGCTGCAACCCCGACAGGTTTTTACCACCAGAGGTTTTGAGTCTTTAGTTTCCTGTGCTGGAACCCTGGGTTGTGTGGTCTGTCTCATTCCCCAGTTGTTCTTTCTGGTTTCTCTGCGTGTGAACGTGGGACTGCCTAGTCCTGCAGCTGCCGCCTTGCTGAGCCTCCTCTCTGCCCCATCTGCCAGTCTCTGCCCCTTTTGCTGGTTTTAGTGAATGTTTCTTCTTTAACTTCTTCTCTGTTGGATTTCCACACAGTTCAATTTTCTGGCATTTCTTGTTTGTTTTTAAATTGGTTGTTGTACTACTTTTGGTTGTGTGAGGAGGCAAAGTATGTCTAGCTGCATCTCCATTGTGGCCAAAAGTCTCTTAACTGGTTTTGTTTAGTTGGTGTTACTTACAGTGATTGTTGATATTGAAAAATTATTGATAAACTTTTTCTATTCTCTTGTTTGTACCTTCTCTTTATTTGTTTTTCTACATTTTTTTTGTCTTTATCTTTTTTTAAAATCTAAGACCACTGTTCTGCTAGGATATCGGTTTAAGGTGTTTTGTTGTAGGAGGCTTTTCAGGTTGTCTTGCTGGAAGTATAATACCTGATGTTGACTTTAAGCTGGCTCTAGTCCATCACATGTAGAATTGAATCTTTTAAGTCAATTGGGAATATTTAAGTGAAAAAAATGCCTGAGTTTCTGAAATCATTTTTTTGCATGTAGTTATTACTAATCCATTTTTCTCTTTCACTGACAGCCGCTCATTCATCAACTCCCCAGGTCTCTACAGGCTGACTGGTCTCCAGTGCCGCTCCTTTGGCTGTAATCATTAAAGACTCACTATCAAATCTATTGGAAGTGACTTAATTCTCATTTTAATTGAACTCTAGCAAAGCTTGCTAGAAAATAAGGATTTCTCCTACAGGATTAAGATAAACCAGTCTCTTCTGGTTTTTTCCCCCAACCCTTTGACAGTTTCTTTATTTTTATTCTGTTAGCTTCACTTTGGCTTACTCTCTGTTTGATGAATTCTCTCTGATTTTGTTTTGGGATTTCTTTCATTGCCCTACATTATGATGGTAAGAGTAGACAGCCATCTGCATGGCTTCATTGAATACTTGGAATTATTCAGTTTGACACCTTTACCTGCTTCGTCTCTAGCCCCAGTCTCCCACCTGAGTTTTCATCCTCTCTTTGCAGTTTCCTGTTGGATATATTCTCTCAGATGATCCACAGGTACTTCAAGCCCAATTTGTCAACAATGGAATTTATTGTGCTTTCTGTTAAGCTCTTCTACCTAATTTGATAAAAGTCCCATTAGCTTTCTAGTGGGTTAGGTTGAGTATCTCTTTTTCTCTAACTCACTATGTTCTACTGTATACCTAATTTTATTGATTGTGTTTTCTATATTTATTATTTTACTCTTTAACTACCAAAATAACTTACTACTTCCTAGTCTATGTCATCCTTTAATTTATCTTTTGTATTGGTGCAAGATCTATAATTCTGTTTTAAATTTTCTTAAAATTTCATTATATGTGAAAGTAATCTCTGTTTATTGTAGAAAACTTAAGAAAATACCAAAAGTATGAAGAAAGACAACTATCTATTATTCTAAATATCAGATATCATTTTTAGTGCTTTGAAGTATTTGCTTTTTAAGGTTTTTAAGTCTTCTCTTTAATTTTTCTTTAACGTGGTTGGAATAAATCTGTACTTTGTTTTATATCCTGTTTATATATTTTTAAATATACGATTCTTGCTCTGTCATTAAAATCTTAAAGGCACAAACTTTTTGTTTTGAAATAATTTTAGAGTTAAAGAAAAGCACAAAAATAGTAGAGTTCTTGTATATTCTTTATCCACCTTTCCCTAATGTTAAGAACTTATATATCAATGCAACAATGATCAAAACCAAGAAGTTAACATTGATTCAA